CCCTCAAAGTCACAAAGACTCACAGAACCAGGAAGATCACACCAGGCTATTGAACCTCCTATGCTGTGCTGACAGCCAGAGAGGCAACAGGTCTCTAACAGAAGAGACTGAAAATAGCCTACGTTACCTGCATAGCACACACTATAGACCACAGAACTTCACCCAGAGTCCTAAGACCTGCAGGGGAAAAAAAACAAAAACAAAAAACCCACAACACGTGACAAAACACCACCAACAAACCAGCTTTCACAAACAGAAATGCAGAACAGCATTCCTGTAAACAGATAAAAGTCTCTCCAAATCATCATATGCCCTCAGCTCGTGTACCATGCCAGAAAGGGTTAAAACAACAGCCACTTGCAGGGTAGTTTTCAAGTTTCGTTACTCTGAAGGTTAAGAACTTTTCTACCCTAAATGCAGTTATAAAGGTATGTACTTAATATATATGGCATCATTTGGGCCTTCTCTTGCCACCCTCTCCTTGCAACTACTTACTGTGCAAAAGACCTCAGATACAGTGAGGGGAGAATTCTTTACCTTCCACTAGCACCACCATCCCACCTCCCACTGCAGATATCTCTCCCCTCCAACAGCCCCTGTTGGAAAGCTTGTTCTGTCATGCCCGCCATTGGCTATGTCAGAAGTAAGAAGGGGGTTGGAGCAAAGGGTGTTGCTACTGTGAGCATTAGGCAGAGAACAGAATCTGTTTCCTCTGTTGTACAGGGATGGAGAACTTCACATCCACTCAGGGCTTCTCTCTACAACTGAGGAAGAGCAGACACTTCATAGAATCATAGAATAGTTAGGGCTGGAAAGAACCTTAAGATCCTCAAGTTCCAACCCCCCTGCCATGGGCAGGGACACCTCACACTAAACCATGTCATCCAAGGCCTCATCCAACCTGGTCTTGAACACCACCAGGGATGGAGCATTCACAACCTCCCTGGGCAACCCATTCCAGTGCTTCACCACCCTAACAGGAAAGAATTTCCTCCTTAGATCCAACCTAAACTTCCCCTGTTTAAGTTTTAACCCGTTACCCCTTGTCCTGTCACTACAGTCCCTAATGAAGAGTCCCTCCCCAGTATCGCTATAGGCCCCCTTCAGATACTGGAAGGCTGCTATGAGGTCTCCACGCAGCCTTCTCTTCTCCAGGCTGAACAGCCCCAACTTTCTCAGCCTATCTTCATATGAGAGGTGCTCCAGTCCCCTGATCATCCTCGTGGCCCTCCTCTGGACTTGTTCCAACAGTTCCATGTCCTTTTCATGTTGAGGACACCAGAACTGCACACAATACTCCAGTTGAGGTCTCATGAGAGCAGAGTAGAGGGGCAGGATCACCTCCTTCAACCTGCTGGTCAGGCTCCTTTTAACGCAGCCCAGGATACGGTTGGCTTTCTGGGCTGCGAGCACACACTGCAGCCACCTCATGTTCATTTTCTCATCAACCAACACCCCCAAGTCCTTCTGTGCAGGGCTGCTCTGAATCTCTTCTCTGCCCAAGCTGTAGCTGTGCCTGGGATTGCTCCGACCCAGGTGCAGGACCTTGCACTTGTCATGGTTAAACTTCATGAGGTTGGCATCAGCCCACCTCACAAGCATGTCAAGGTCCCTCTGGATGGCATTCCTTCCCTGCAGCGTATCAACCGAACCACACAGCTTGGTGTCATCATCAAACTTGCTGAGGGCGCACTCAATCCCACTGTCCATGTCAGTGACGAAGATGTTGAACAAGACCGGTCCCAACACCGATCCCTGAGAGACACCACTCGTTACTGGTCTCCAGCCGGACACTGAACCACTGACCACAACCCTTTTCATGAGGCCATCCAGCCAGTTCTTTATCCACCGAGTGGTCCATCCATCAAATTGATGTCTCTCCAATTTAGAGACAAGGATGTTGTGTGGGACAGTGTCGAACTCTTTGCACAAGTCCAGGTAGACGACATCAACTGCTCTACCCCTGTCCATCAGTTCTGTAGCCCCATCATAGAAGGCCACCAAATTGGTCAGGCAGGATTTCCCCTTAGTGAAGCCATGCTGGCTGTCACCAAGCACCTTGTTGTTTTTCATGTGCCTTAGCATGCCTTCCAGGAGAATATGCTCCAAGGTTTTGCCAGGCACAGAGGTGAGACTGACTGGTCTATAATTCCTCAGGTCATCCATTTTCCCCTTCTTGAAAATGGGGGTTATATTTCCCTTTTTCCAGTCATACGTCCCTTTTTCTTTTCTACATGTTTGAGACCATTAGTAACTTCATGGACTTTTGTCATGCTGCCCACTCTCTCAGTTGTCCTTTTTATCAGGTAAAAACTGCCAGCCTTCCACCTTCCTCCACAAGAACTCTCTCATGCCATCAAGGATTTCTGCTCCCCAGATCGGAGGCTGGACAGACTGTTGAGTACACATTTAAGTCAGGCTACTTCGATGAACTCTCCACAGTCTGTATATTTCAAACAGGTACTTAGCTGTATCATTTCCAGTAAGGAGGACACATCCTTACAGAATAAACACTGAAAGCCATGGAACACCTCGACAATGTACCTGTCTGGCAACTCTGCCCTCAGTCTCAGCATAACACTTCCTCTCTGGGATCTGTGGGAAACAGAAGATCAGCACAGATGGGAAGTCATTCCTACACATAGCCCATCATAAACACACTGCCTCTGCCTCATAAGCTTTGCCTTTTCTATGTGCTTTAGAAAAGGGAGAACAGAACAGGTATAGGCTTGTCCCAGGAATTCCATTCCCCATGCAGACCACCATTGCATATTGACAGTACACCCATCACTAGAAAGGATGAAGGTAAGCTGAGAAAGGAGAGGGCTTTGCATGCAGGAGTTAAATAGCAGATAGATTAGATCTTATCATTTGAGATTTCCAGGAAAAGTATTATGTTGCTATGGAAACCTCAACATAACCTGTGTTTTCCCTCCTTTTGTTTGTTCATTTTCTACAAGCACTGGCCTCTCCCACTCCTATATAGCTGGGCTTGGAAAACGATTTTTTACGTGATGTCCACTTCTCTTGGCAAGCATGTTTTTCTGTACATCGCCTTTCACAATATCACTGTCACAACCTCTTGACCACTCTCAACTCTTCTTTTGCAATAAGTACTGTATAATTTGCCACAGATTAGGAAGCTCCTAAGCACTTGGCTCTCTTTCTGCTTGGGGAAAAGAGAGAAAAGCCTCATAGTAATAAACAGAGCTTTTTTGGACTTCATTCGGTGGAAAAAACAAACATATCTACAACCTCCCTTCTCACAGAGTCAGCAACATGCACCTCTAGTGATTGTAGTTTAGTACAGTGTAAGGACCTGTCTCACTCTAGGCATTGCAGGTGTTTACTCCCAAAGAGCAACAGCTCTGCCCACAAGTTTTCCATGTAGCAAATGAGACCAAACCCAAGAAGCAACCCAAAACCCCTAGAAATTGACTTTATATTTGCAGTAGTCACCCAGCCACATCAAAGCAAAGAGCATAGCAAGAAACAAAGCAAGAATCCTGTAGATTCTTCTGTGTTAGGTAGCCCAGGCCTCATCAGTGACTACACATGTACAACTTGAGAATGCCAGATGAGAAACAAACAGTACTACTACAAACTGGCAAAGAATTGTGTACAGGAAGGGGTACTGGTGACACCTTGGAAAGGTCATTTCAGCTTACCTGTCACATTGTCTCTTTTAGATTGTCAGCACTATAGAGGCAAAGACTACCAGGGCTGTTACACAATGCATAGGACTGCAAGAGTCAAACCTGATTCTGGCCCATTACAGAAATGAAAGTGACACAAGGTGATAAAAAACAAGAGGAACAAACCTGACACAATTCCCAGCAAGTCATGCACACAAAATAAAAACCTGGTCTCTACCTTGCAAGACATCAGTGCAGTTTTTCAGAGCTGCTACTAGGTTTGTCACTCTGGAGTGACCCTACTGTTATTGAGCAATGGGCTGTAGAACAGCAAGACAGCACCCAAATTTTTGGGTTGAAGAAATAGAAGTGTGTTGCAGTAGTGCCGATACATACCTACTATTTGTTTTCTTGTATCCACTGGTAACAAGAAAGTCCACCATTAACAATATTCTGCAAGCATTTTCATGGAAACATTAGCACTATAAGTACCACAAATTAAGAGGGTCCACCGAATGCCACAGAAAAGAGATCAGCTAAGCGTGAAATACTATAGTTTCACCCTGTCATTTGCAGTTATCTCCATTTTAGGATGTCTCAAGAAACAGTGTTCCCTTTTTGGCACTGGGAAAAGGAAGCATTTTTCAGGCAAAAAGAATGTGGATATTCTGCTCAAGTTTTCCTTGCTTTTATTTCCGGGCATCTCTGGCCATTCATTTTACTCTTATAACAATAAGAAGGATTAGCCTTAATGAGTTTCATGGACACATCAAGAGAATCTTTCCAAAAGGAAAATGTCCCTCTGGATAGAAGACTTTGATGCACAGAAGCATTTACCTGCCAGATTCCTTCTGTTCTGCACCTCATGACCTCATAATTTACACACACACACACATCACCTTGACATCAAAACACAGCTCCATGTGTACAAGCCTTTCACACTCATACTTTCCCTTACCTAATCACCTACACAAACCACACGAAAGTGACTACCAAGTGCAGGCTTTATCATCTCCTTTCTCTGGACTAGTTCTTACTTCAGTAGCATAAATGGTTGTATCCTTAGATGGGAACATCTTCTCAGTAAGCTCCGGAGACACACCACCAGTTAAGGTGGTTTCAGTGCCTAAGCAAGCTTTTTTAAAGGTAAAAAAGGGCACTTCAAAACTGAGTCCCACTCTGTATAATGTAACATGATTTCATGGGTACTAGCAACCCCAAAACACTCTTCATATCCTTCAGTTGGAAGATGACACCAAGAAGGACACAGAGGTTTTTGCAGTTGTTTGGATGGTCTTCCCTCAAAACTGATCAGCAGTTGCCCAAAAACTTTACAAAAAAAAAAACCACCACCTTTTCGTTTACCTGGTCCTGGCTAGTCCTAGAATATATGAATGCCAAGCTGCAAAGCTGTTATCCTGGAGCTGCAGATTCAGCAAGTTTCCTGCGGCTTCCTCAGCAAAGCTACGGCGGAAAGAAAACGGACCCTCACCATCACTATCTGTGCAAACAGCCCCACCAAGTGGCCAAACACAACTCGATCTTCTCTTCCACATCTTGCAACCAAAGCAGAAACGTCTCACGAAGCTTGTTAAAAAATACAAATTTACTCATCTAACCTAGCCCTACTCATTATGTCCAAAGCCTAAAAGAAAGAGGGCTTCTGAGACAGAGTTTTTAAGATCTTCTTTCCAGCAAGACTGTGGACTAAAGGCAAAACAAGGAAGTGAAAGAGAGGCTTCTTTCCTTCACAAGGAAAGCAGCAGCAAGGTGTACAAGCAGGGAAAGATGTGTCACAAAACCTCTTAAAGTTTTGCTCATGTTCACATACTGTGCTAAGCCATAATCTAAGCTGCCCACCCATTTCTCATCTTATTACTACCTTTTCTACTTGCAAAAATAACAAAGTTGGTTTAAATTCTTAAAAATATTGGAACAAAGCCCTGGTCTCCCTCTTGGGACAACTTATTCCCGTGGGCAGGTGACACCTACCCTTCCTTTCAATAGTTTTTGCCATAGAGTCTGTGTAAAGAAAGGATACTCACAAACAATTGGAAGTTCAAGATGTGCTGTCCATGCATATATTCTGGACGTTCGTATGTCTTAGCTTGTAAGTGGAGGTACTTTAATCTCAGTGTCAATGTACATTCTCTCAGCAGTACAGCAGCTGCACAACCCTTCTGATAAACTCCATGCCCCTCCTCTACTCCACCCACTTCCCCAGCATTCATATTTTCTACAATTCTAAGCTAAAACTGTTTATCCTAAAAAATGGAGTTTTGGGGATAGGCTATGGACAACCTGATGGACAAACCCCATCTTCTACTTCCTACTCCTGGAAAGTGACCTTCTGAGTGATACCCTATATTCATACTGAACTTTTGGGTGATCTAAGCTACTGCCTGATCTATGCAGGTTCCTTAAAGAAAAGCTCTAGTAAGACCCAGACCTTGATAAATCAGAGTACAAAGAAAGTGCCTGGGCTCTGCTGTAAATTAACCTGAATTGGCATCAGAGTTACTGGGTTACTCTAGCATAGAAGCAGAGGTGTAGAGCCAAGTTTACAGGGTATTTATACAAAGATGGCGTAGGTATTAAATCTCTCACACAGGCTAGCATGCTGCTATCACAGCTACATCCTGCCCTGGTTTCCCAAAGATCATCAGATATGGCCTTCTACCCATGGAAGACACACATACAGCCCAACAAAAGGGTTATAAACAAGACATAAACCAAACAACCTCGTCTTAGAGTAAAATATCTGACAATTATCAACATCAGAGGGAAAGTGGTACTGCTTAAAAAGACATTCTGGATCATTATATAGCTACAATAATTTTTTTGCTATACAGAAGAAATAGGCAGCATATCATCTACATATGACTATAATGGAGCTAAGTTTCTTCTGAAGAGAAAAGGCCTGGCATCTTCAGGCTGACCCTAAGACAAGCATTTGTAACTGGATCTACATGACAACTAAACAAAGAAAAGATCTTGCTGATACTAGCTACAGAAATTCAGAACCAGGACTTTTCCTGTATGCACTAGATGTTTAGAATACAGATACAGTAGAAAGCCACATGATTACACATGAATCACTGAATGTGGTGTGTTACTGATGCTGTATCACATCATCCAAATACTCTGATTGTTAATCTACCCAAGAACAGACACTAGCACTACAGCAAGATGAAAGGTCAAAAGTGGAAGTACAGCCAGTGGTAAGAGTGAAGGCTGATACAGAGGTTTGCCAGACTGAGTGAATAACCAAGATCAACTCATGAAACCACTGCAAAGATTCCCGCTTCCCTCAGAGCTTTTAGCTAGGGGAAAAAAAAAAAATAAACAAAAACCACCAAACCCCCAAAGAACCACAAAGAACAAACAAAAACAACATAACCCCAAAACCTAGCAGACAACTATTAGAATAATTAAACATTTTTCAATTCAGCAATATGCAAAAATAGCACATTCCCTAACACATACATTGCTTTCAATACTGGGGGGGGGGGGGGGGGGGGAGGGGGCATGATGTTATTGTTCCTCACCCCAAGAAGTTTGTAGGGAGCAACAGGCTTTTATGGCCAAAAGAGAACAAGGTACCTTTTCCTCATCTGAGTTCTGCGAGAAAAAGCAGGGAGAGTAGCAAGATTAAAATCAAATAAGCAGCATCAATACAGTAAGAGAGTTAAGAACTTCACTGAAGCTGCTACAACAAATTATTCTTGCCCTGGTGGCCAACCAAAATTAACTTGATGCCATATGCACTCAGAAAAGGGGAGATACTTTACATATGTAACTAGACCAATACATTTATATTAAGCACTCTCACCTCAGTAGAAGTTTGCTTACATGAGTGGGAGCTAAAAATATTTTTCATATTACTCTTTAGACATATCTAGCTGCAAATACAGTCTGTATTTTGTACTGCTAAAGATTTCACCTTGAATTAATCCATGTGCTGGCTGCAAGATTTAGTCGTGAACACCACTGTTATCCTGGTTTCAGCTGGAATAGAGTTAATTTTCTTCCTAGTAGTTGGCACAATGCTGAGTTTTGGATTTAGTCGGAGAACAATGTTGATAGCACACTGATGTGTGTGAGTCTCCTTCCCTCCCTGGAGACATTCAAAACCCGCCTGGACACATTCCTGTGTAACATTATCTAGGTGTTCCTGTCTCCGGCAGGGGGATAGGACTAGATGATCTTTTGAGGTCCCTTCCAATCTCTAGCATACTGTGATACTGTGATGTTTTAGTTGTCGCTAAGTAGTGTGTACCCTCATCAAGGACTTCTCAGTTTCTTCTGCTCTGCCAGTGAAGACTGCTCTCATCTCAGCCCATGGGGTTTTACCTTTTTCCAATTCTCCTCCCCATTCCACCAGACAGATGAGGGAGCAGCTGTGCAGGAGTTGGTTGGCAGCTGTAGGCTTCAAGTTTTGGGTTTGTTTGAAACTCCTCAAAAGTATCATTTGACCCAGATTCGTCATTGTTGACAGGCTATTGTTAGTAACTAAACAGATGAAACCAGCCCAAGCAATACAATGCAGATTTGCTACAAACTTTATGTAGTATATTAAATACACTGAAGTACATGCAAAAATGAAAACAAAACCAACCAAACAAGAAAATCAAACCACATATTTAAACAGTTTTATACCAAGCTGTATAGCAGGTACTGCCATTCAATCATTCTCACAGGTAGACTACAGGGAAGGGTGTGATGGCCTCATTCCTCATTCAAAGTCTAGCCTGGCTATTCTCCTCTATCAGCTTCATGATAAATGTCCACCTGTAATGCAGTTATTTCACAACTGTCTCAAAGGGGTTGATTTGATTTCTGCAGTTTTGTTTGATCTGGGCCTTTGCAGAGGGCTCTGGTACAGAAGTACTACCAAAAAACCCAAACAAGATTTTGAATGGCACTTCCCTCTTGAGGGAAATTGAGCTGTGTCACCTTAGCAAAGCCATCATCCCTTCATTCCTATTCAGGTCACACTAGCACTCCCCCACTGCCTTGCCATACGGTTCAAGATGAGAAGTTCTTGAAAAGCAGCAGTAGACTCACACCTAGGAAATCAATTATCTCTAGATAAAATTTAGGTTTTGTTAGCTTTTATTTATAGGTATTTTAGGTACAAACCAATAGGCCACTCTGAAGGCACAGAATCTACTGGAAACACATAAACCTGTCCCCAGAAATCAGAAATTTCATTTCTTCACGAACTGTGGCCTTTTATTTTACCCAACAGCCTGTGTTGCAAAAATGAGAGCAGGAATCAGAATCCAGCATTTTCTTTATTCCTAATCACCGACCTCACAAGCATAATCTCTAGCCTAAGGATTTTTACATGCATTTTCCTGAGGCAAAAGTTTATCCTGTCAAAGTCATCTACTGGTTGGAGTAATCCCTTGCAGTAACTACTTGAAGTTTTTGGAAATACCTTTCCCAAAAGCTGCTGTAATGACCAGGCTGCAGAGCACAGCCTCCAACAAGTCTTTCTGAGAAAGCAGATACTACTACTATATTTATAGAATACCAAGTTGCATGATTTTACTTTAAATCTTTATGGCATCACCAAAAAAAGTCTCCATCCCAAAATTCTGAGAAATTAAAAGAAAGTATCTTGTCAAGCTGGGATATAGGCTAGGCTGACATGAGAAGCAGGGATCTCAAGAAAGCTCAAGGAAAACACTTTACAATCCTTGCCATCTGTATTGAGGAATTCTATAGTATTGCAAGTCTGGAAATACCTAAAAATTATCACACCATTTTGAACAGACATCAAATTCATTAGCAAGTACTGCCAATGAGAAGCAACATCTTCCCATAGATAGTATCTGTATCATGCTAGAATCCATGCTATGGCAAAGGGAATGAAGTACACTGCACATGAAGAACATAATGCTTTAACACACAGCACAAAAGGAGACATTCCTTAAAAAAAAAACAACAAAAACCCAGAAGTTATTCTATGTGTGGTTTAGAGTATGGAATCCACAAAGAACTTTTCTGTGCCTTGCATGTACTTAACATATTTAGCTCTTGGAAAAATCACCTGCCTTAGCAGATAAACTTTGATCTCTACACCAGATGATGCTGCACAACACTGCAAGACTGTTGGGATAACAGAACTCTGAAAAACATGAAGTTACAATACACACACCTCACCATCACACAAACTATATTTGATGGAAATGGGGAATCTGTATGAGAAGCTTTGTACTTGGTTGAGACTTGCAGATTAACACAGACTTTCACTGAAATGAAATGCATACTTCAATGTAAGAAAAATCTTCAAAGCAAGAACTTAGAAGTTTTTGATGCCCCAGTAAAAGCTTTAGAAGCAATGATCACCTGCTGGCCCTAACTGACTTGCTAGCACCTCTAGCTAATAAGAGAAGTTGAAGAATTAAACAAAACCAGAAAGATATTCTCTATACAGGCTTGAATCATCCACCCTTCACTATTAAAAAAAAAAAAAAAACAAACCTTCCAGTAGTACACATTCCTACAAATGTCCAAACCAAAATTTTTAAATTGGAACATTATACAAAGTCAGTTGGGAGAGAATGGAGAGGGGGAAAAGACGTAAGAGAGAGAGGGTTAAATATCCGTATATCAACTATTTCAAAAACTAACATTTTATTTTTTAAATAATTATAAGCACTGCGGAAAAAAAAAAAAATCAAGTCATTAATTATCCATGCCACAAAGCACAAGCTCTTCAGTTCAGATACAAGGATAAACATAATGAAAGTGGAATACAAGTGAAGACAGGTCTATGAACTACTTCCAGAAGCCTGAACTCTGAGCAGCCCCTTCTCCAGTTCAGCAAATTTATCTTCCTGTGAGGCTGCGTAACTCTTTGCTGTCTTAATGAGGGAGTCATGATGCTTCTCCAAACAAGCCTTCAGATGTAGGCATATTTCCTAGAAAGAGGAGATAAAGGTGGGTGGAATATCCACAAGCCAAGTTAATATTTATGCTTTATAAGGATTTAAGTGAGAGTGGCCTGTTGGTCACAAGTGACTTCAAACATACTTCATCCCTTACTTAAGAAGCAGCATTAACAGAGCACAGGAAAGTTATAAAACCCCAGAAGAATAAGAGCAGTCACAAGCAAAATCCCAATATCATGATTCTATTGTAAGTCAAATAGTCAAAATACTAAGATGGTCAAACAACTAGCACTAGCCCAGCATTCACACTGCTACCACCCCGTTCTGCAATAACCTGTGCCACCAAGGTCTTTGCTACTGTGACTGACACCATTGTCATCCCATCATGGATGGTACTTCAATAATGAACAGATAGGATGAGATGCTACAGGCAGACTATGATCCCCTACTCCAAACCCATTAGGATTTCTGTCTCTTTCGAAAGCTGAGCTGGACAGTCATCTTCCTGAAAGCCTAGGAAGAAAGTGTTTGTGACACTGCAAGTGGTCCAGTATTTCAGGGAGGCTGTTGAGAGGATTCTTGTACTGCCCATCACTACAACACAAATGTAAAGTCTCACAGGTCAGGTCCCAGAGGCCAAACAAGGCAAAAAAAAAAAAAAAAAAATAAAAATTAGCACCATGATACAAAAACTGGCATGATGCCACTATCATAATATCTGCTATGGGCACTGGTGAGAAGACAAGTTTAAAATTTGCCTCCCAAAACACTGGGCAATCACAACATTCCAGAGTCTTTTCTCTCTGGTCTGCAGAGTCCAGTTCTGTGGGCCACCTGTATAGCCTGCAGAGACAAGAACAAGCCCTTGTAACCCAGTGAGACCACAAGCAAGAAGCACTCTTCGTCCCACTATCCATCCAAACTGCCACCTGCACAGCCTACTCATATTTAGGCCCAGTAAGTGATCCTTTACTTATACAGCCCAAGTTAAAAATCAGTTTTGATAATACCAAGTAGGATTCCTTTAGGGAAAAAAAAAAAAAACAAAACAAAACAAACAAAAAAAACACTCACCTTAGCTTTCCTTTCTTGTTTTTCAGCATTATCATTCAGCTGCTGGATTTTGAACCTTGTCTGGTGGATTTCTTTTTGAATGGCCACCACTTTATCATAGACAACATCCCTCTTCTCCTGAACTCTGTTACAATACCTAAAGGGGGGGGGGGAAGTTAGTACTGAGCTATTTGACTAATTCCAGATTAAACTTAGCTCCACCACAAATAAAGCTTAAATTTTATGAGCATGAAACTAGCAGCTTCCAGAAGCAATGTTATATATCATTTACCTGCTTGGAAATTTGTCCAGTTCTTACATTAGAACTTAGGTACAAGAAGTGCAAGTGTAACAAAGTGGAGTTAGAGGAGCATGTTGAAGAACTTCAGTTGTTCCCAATCAAGGCAACTCAAGTGACTGCAGTGGAAACAGCCTAAGAGAGCTGAACACTGCATCTTCCTGCCTTAGCTTAATGTAGTGCAGGTCAATACAGTTTAGGTGTCAATGAAGAGCCCTGCCTAACTCACTGTACCACATTAGAAGCAATAACTAAACTTGGTATTTCAGCATAATTGAAAGTCACACATTTTCCTTAGCCCCAGATCACCTCACACCATATTAAAGCTCTAAGCCCATGCATCTACATATGTCCATCATTTCATTGCATTCCAAACAAAGACTAAATAATATTTCCCCATCTTGTAGGTAAATTCAGACAGCTCCAGCTGTGAACTGCTATATAATCAGCAAAACTGTTAGTGTGAAAACAGGAGAGCTATTTTTAAAATGAAAAAAAGACCTACCAGTTTATACTAAGCATTTGTACAACAATTACAGTTGAAACTCCAGCAGCTGCTTTTGCTAAAGAATGGCTCAAATAACTCATATGTAGCAATAACCTACTTCTACCGTCTTAAATCAAGGGAACAGTCAGGACATATTCTCTCATTCACCAGTAAAATCCCTTGTTTTCAGACCATGGTTACCTCCCTTCCCCTCTTGCTTATAAAACACTCAATTTTATCACTTAAGGGAAATATCTAACACATTACAAAGACATAAATTTGCAGCAACTTTTAACATAAAAGAACATTAGATTATGTTATTTTCATCCTTTATTTTGTAGG